AGATTGGGTTGGAAAAGACCTCCAAGATCATCAAGTCCAACCCCTGATCCAACTCCAATTACTATATCATGGCACTAAGGGCCACATCCAATCTCTGCTTAAAAACCTCCAGGGATGGTGAATCCACCACCTCTCTGGGTAGGCTGTTCCAATGCTTGATTACCCTCTCTGTAAAGAATTTCTTCCTAAAATAGATAGATAGATAGATAGATAGATAGATAGATAGATAGATAGATAGATAGATAGATAGATAGATAGAGCAAGCTGTTTGACCTCTGATGGAAAAAGATTTTCTTTTGTGTTGGACTTCAATTTTAGGTTTGGCCATTTCAATGTAACCTGTAAAAGCTTCCCATGAATGCCGTTGATCAATGGAATTAAACCAGTTGAGTTAAACCAGTCTGACTTTGGGAAAACAAAAATTGGAAATGCACTAGAGAAATTAAATTAACAAATTGCTGTATAATGCTGTTTAGTTTGCTTTGAAGCAGAATGCTTGCTGTAGGAAGGTTAATATTGACTGTGCTTGTGTGTTTTTGTTTTTTGGCAGGTAACCCTGGACTGGCAGGTTATTACAGGACCTTTATACAGGCCTTATATTGTGGACTGAACCAGCAGTATCCCGTGTGGGTTGTGAGCCATGCCGGACATTGTAAACCTCCCAGTGGGATGGAAATGATAGAAGGTACAATATTGCAACTCGTGCATGCAAGTGTTTGTACCCCTCCCATTTCAGTACCAGAACTTGGCCTGTTAAAAACAGAAGGATGTGAGTTTTAAATGTCTCCATTGTATTTCCACAGAGCAGTTGTATGAGAAGTTACTGGGGAAAAAAAGTATTTTTAGGTAAATTAGATTTGCCAGACAAATAAGTGCTATTAAGAGAATAAGAATTTGCTGTTGGCAGTCGTTAGAGACAAGTTACAGTGAAGAGGGTCTAGAATGTGTTTATGTTGAGAAGAGTAGATTAGAAAAGTACGTTTTTAAATTAAATGTCCAATTCAAAGATTGAGTACGTTAGGAGAGATTTAATTATCTCTGAGTTTAATAATAACCGTACTAAATTAGTGAATTTCCTGGAAGCAAGTACATCTTTCTGAGACTGGGGTATGCGATGTTTGGAGGGGAGAGGTTGCTTGTATATCTGTTAAGAGTCTTTTGACATGCACATCTCCAGCAAGACATAGTAGCCAACTTGAACAGACATTCTTAATGTACAACATTGTAAAATGGGGGGAGCCAGCAGCAAATCCTGTCCTGAAAGCTGCTTAGTGTCGGAATACCTCTGGACTTGGTCAGGCTGCAGTGGTGTAGCAGTAAATCAGTATGAGTCCTTAGGTCCAAAAGGTTCAGCAATGTAAATTAACCTGAAAATTTTGAGGAACAAACCATTTTAGCTGTTCGACGTGTCTTTCCCTCACTGACCTTTGCACCTGAGCTTCTCAGCCTTTTTATTGGTTTATTTAATTTCAAGTTTGAAAGTTAAATTTGAAACTTGTATTGCTTTGGTAGAATTCCTGCCAGTCGTTGTGTTCAAGCATCAAGCTACTGAATATTAGCATTTTTTCCTGACAGGTGAGAAATCCTTAGGTTTATAATTTCTAGTACCGTAGTAGCCACAGGGAACAGGTAGAAGTCTGGCAACAGAGTGGAGCTGAGTTTATTGCAGGGAACATTTGAAGGTCTGCGCTGGGATCGTGTCTTTAGGTGTGTAGTTAGTAAAAAGAACTCTTGATAGTGAGAGATGTGTTTGGTGACTTGAAATGGCTGAGCAAATTGAAAGGGGGGAAGGATTTTAGATTGAGTCAGTAGGGGTGTTGTCCTATTTCCACTGTGACAGTCCCTGTACTACTAAAAAGTGTAAATCTGGGTGAAGGAGAGCATCCAGTAGGTAAAAGCAGCTGATAGATCTAAGTTGAAAACAAACCTCTAGCTGACTTCACTGTATCCTTTTGCACTGACAATGCTCCTGTGAGAGGGAATTTTCAAGAATGTGGTAGCTTTTTAGGATGGACAGGTCAGGAGTGAATTACCATGATGGTGTTGTGTCAGGTTTTATTCAATATATTCACCCATGACCTGCAGAATGAGAGTAAACGAAGAAATTTCTCAGTTTGTGGATGGCACTTCATAGCATTTAATTACTGGGAAGACATTAGATGTGAGAGAACTGCAGAAACATCTCACAGAATTTAGTGATTAGGCAAAAAGATGGTAGACAAGTTTCAGGGTAGATAAATATGAATTAATGCATCTGACAAAGATCTTCTTTAACTGTTCCTGGGCAGTCCTGAACTTTGAATACATTTATAAAACTCAGGAAGGATACTGATGTTGTCACTGACAGTTCTGTAATATTAGTCATCCCTCATTACACAGTGGCAGACAAAAATTTAAGGCAACAAAGCATTGACCATAAGGAGTGTTACAAACAAGGCAGGGGGCATTATTGGTTTGTTACTGCACGTGATCATAGTGGACCAACACCTTGAGTATCAGAGTGCAGTTCTGGTGGGCATCTCAGGGACAACTTTTCAAGAGTGAAGTTGGTGAGTGAATGCAGAAAGACAACTAAAACAATACAGAGAAAGCAGCTTTCTTATTACGAGAGATGACATGACTCTGATTTGGGGAGCGTAGCGCTTCTCAGGAGCATGACTGAGTATCCAAAATCATGACAGTAAATAAGGTAAATGCAGGATAAAATATATCAGATTCAGTCATGGAACTGACTGTCACTTAATGGTACAAACTGATTTAAAACAGGTGAGAGAAAGTATTTATTTATTTATCCATCAGGTAAAAAACTGAGGGAATTAGCAACCAAAGCACTATATTGTGGGCAAGTTGTATGAGCAGACCTTAAAGAATGAAACAACCTAATGGACAAGTGGTTCATAAACAGCTGCTGAAAGAGTCAGGTTCTTTAATGTGCAAGTGCACTCCTGTCCTTCCTTGCCTTGGACACTGACCTTCTGTGCTCCTCCTGGTCCCAGTGCTGTCCTATGGCAGGCTTGGGAGCCTGAAGGAATCACCACAAGAGGAAGGGAGGCAGAAAGTGTCCAGGCTTCATGATGCCTGAATAGCATCTCCTCTTGCCACTGCTGAACTCAGAGGATTCACATGCCTGACCCAGTAAAGGGTTTTTTAAAAATTAAGATGCACTTGGAAAATTAAGGTGTTCTGTAAAAATTCCATGTATTCCTGTATGCTTCGTATGGATGTTTCATAAAGCTTCATCTAAAATAGCCACCTGCAGATCCTCTGAGGAAGTTCAGTATTTCTTGATAACAAGAGGAAGTTCAGTATTTTTTGATAACAAGAGTGAGGGCATAAATTCATGCAGAAAACATATGAATCTCTGACACCATTGATTATTGAGATTTTTCAGATTGTAATATAGCAAATAAAAGTGGGGGAAGAGGGGGAGATAGCAGAAAAGAACAATTCATAATGATGCATTTACAACATTTTTTGCTCATATACTACTGTCAGTAAAAAAAAATTAGGGGCACACCCCCTTAACATATAGTTTTTAAAAATTTAAATTACATATACGTTCCTCTGCATTTCTGGTATTTCCTTCCTATACCCCGCTGTGCATGCACCCCATTTCGGAGACCACTGATTTAGAGTCTTCAAGCCTTTAAATAGTGCACTTAACTTGTAAATGATGATGCTGTAAAGGACTCTAAAATGAAGCAAACTGTGTAGGAATAGCATGCCTGGTTATATATAGATCAGGTAAATTTTGAAATTCTCAGAAAGACTAAAGTTTTCCAGCAGCAGACATCAATCACAGACTACTTCCTAGTTGACTGGAGGCATATCACTTAGCAATTCAGAAACCAAACAAAGCTACACCCTTCATTTTCACTTCTCTATGATATCCTTCTATTCATAGAGCTTTTGCAGGCTCTGCTCCACAAGACACACACCATTAATTGAATATTTTGTTGCTGTAATTCTGCTTCCAGCAATCAATCCCCGTGAAAAATGATTTGAATCTTATTTTTACTCAGTGAATGCAATGAAAAATTATACCTCAATTTCAATGTCCTTATCCTCCTCCTCATCTTTTAAAAAAGAAGTTGTTTTGAACACTGCTGTGACTGCAAAACAGGCCCACATCAATCCTTAGGTGTAGGCAAAATTACAGAAAGGAGAACAGTTTTCTAGTTCTTTCTTATTTTGTTTAAAATTGGCATAAAAAATGGATAGACAGCCTGTGTACATACATAGCCATGTCTTAAAATGCTCTAAGTCTGTGGACATCTGCTGTGGCTTGAAAAGAAATAGGAAATAAGATAGACAGAAGTAAAAGTAGAATCAGGTTGGGAAGGATCATCAAGTGCAACCTTTGACTGAATGCCACCATGCCCACTAAATCATATCACAAAGTGCCTCTACTCGTTTTTTGGACCCTTCCAGGGATGGTGACTCCACCACTTCCCTGAGGAGCCTGTTCCAATGTTTAACCACTCTTTCAGTGAAGAAATTTTTCTTAATATCCAACCTGAACCCCTCCTTGGTACAACTTGAAGCCGTTTCCCCTTGTCCCATCACTTGTTACCTGGGAGAGGCCGACCACCACCTGGCTACACTCTCCTTCCAGGGAATTGTGGAGCGTGAGAACATCTTCCCTGAACCTTCTTGTTGCCTTTCTCTGGACACGCTCCAGCATGTCAGTGTCCTTCAAGAAGAAGGACACAGCTTTGGTTTGTCCTTAGGACTGCCCAAGATACTATTTTTGATAGTGAAGTAAGATTGAGAGTATAGAAAAATCAAAGTTAATTTATTTATTTATTTGTTTGTTTGTTGTAATAGTCTTTGTATGCCAAGTGCTACAGAAATACAGAATCATGTGATTCTTGATTGAAGAGACACAGTTGATGCATTAAAATGTCATATACCTAACAAATAGCTAGTCAGCGGTCATCTCTTAATGATACAATATTTGATCAAGTGATATATTAAAGTTAAATCTCTTGAACTTTCTAAACTGTACAGATGAGTATTGGGCTATACACATTCAAATTACAAACACTTTTTATAGTTTCAGCAAGGCATGTTTTCCCTTTGGAACAGATTGTCTACTTAATGTTGGTTTGCATCTGAATCATTGTTAACTTGCTTCTGAACAAAATGCCATTCTCAATAGTCAAGTTACAAGATAAAATTCTAGTTTGATCTTTTATGTTCTATGAACTGTAGAAGATAATAGTGTGTCCTTAAAATCTGGTAAACTAGCCTTAGTTCATAGTTCTTGATAAAAAGAGATAAGTAATGATTGATTTCTGGTCCATCAAAAGAGTATTTCCATTGCTTTCTCTTTACACATGGAGGGTAGGACCGTTTTGGCACTGCGTTACATCCTTAAGAAAGAATATGGAAAAAGCACAGAAGTGGTGAAGGGATAATAAATTATCTGTGAAGACATTGATTATGTGATCCCAAAATGTTAATGTACCATCAGTGTGAAGTTTTGAAGTGAAATTAAGTTGTGTATAAAAAAAAATAAATTCTAGTGTTACAGAAACATTTGGAAGCCCTGTGCAGCTTGAATTTATTTCATACATTTCTTCTTGGCTCTTGTTAGAGTGCATCTGAATGAAGTTTGCTTTTGCAGCCCTCTGACTTATATTGAAACTGCAGAATTGACTATGAGTGAGAGTCTACCTCTAG